TCAAAAGGATCTTTTTATAACATGAAGGGAACAATATTTTTTATACTATGCTTAGTTAAAGAAAAGTAGTAAATCCTGAAGATTCATCGGTCCAGGTTTTTAAAGGCCGATGGCCATTATTTTGGCAATCTAACTGATCCCTGATGTGCTGCTGATTTTTCGGCTCATTCTCAGAGCCCATACAGTTTTGTTTTTTTTTCTTTCACCATTTACAAAAAAAATGGCACAATTCTAACAAATGTCTCACTTGGCTCCATTTAAACAAAAACAAACATTAGCATATACACATAGCACATAGCAATAAGACTAAACTAAACGTTACTAATGAATACTAAATTACATATTAGTTGCAATGCATATTCTTCAAGTGATCTCAAAGCATGGTTGCTGAATTGACCCAAACTTTTTTAGCTCTGCCCTCTGTTTGTTTTCAACAAAGTTTTTGCTCCTTCTTAATCTGTCACTCTGCTTCAACTTTTTCAACAGTTGAAAAAATAAAGGTCAACAGCAGTAAATTAAATATTGCAAGAACATAAACTACTATCCACTTGAAGTCACTAAAAATACCGCCTTTAAAATGCAGTTATTTTAAGTCAAGCTCTTTATTTTACATTGTTACAGAATATACAATTGCTATTGATAAATAAATTTTAAAAATACTCTACCTGGGTCATTTATTCGTTTAAGTTCTGCCACAGCCCACTGCATGTACACTGTGTCACCTCACTGATTTTGGGAACAGCTAATGATCTGTCAACGCATTTAATATATAATATTGGACAAAAATGGCAGCCAGCCGATATATCTGTTTATCTCATAAATTGTTATATTTTACCTATTTCTTGTGCCCGGTCTATTTAATAGTGAGTGAATAAACAAAGTTATCTTACACATTATATAAACTTATTTATTATATTAGAAAATGTATCTAGTATAACAAAACTGGAATCTTTTAGGTTACTGTGATGGATTCAGACTGAAGGCAAGAGGAGTCACAGGTATTATAATACAAAAAACAAAAGTTTTCTTTTAAGCCCAGAGGTTCTATTTTAGAAAACAAACCCTCAGCTCATAGAAGAGGTCCAAAGAATAGAATTCAACTCAGGCAAAAAGGTGAACTAGACGACTGACTGCAAAAACATAATTTGATTCAGTTCAATTCAGTTTATTCAATTCACAACACATGTCATCTCTAGGCACTTTACAATTTGACCAGATCATACAGTCAAATTGATTCAAAGTTTTCTTTCTAAGGTAAACCAGTTGATTGCATCGACTCATTGACTCGAAGGTAATCCCTCATAACTGACCTACCAAAAAAATCACACACAAACAAACATATCACTGGTTGATCAGACTGTTATAACACAATAGAAATATTTACTATTTACACGAAATAACACTGCACAGTTACAGAAATCATATGCCGAACACAAAAAATAACTTAATCTGAAGAAATTAGAGAACCCCCCAATGTCACTCACACATGCTATCAGACTATTTGCTACTTAATTTCAACAAAGTGGATGCTGACTGTGACTTTGCTCTTTTTTTTATTTATTTTAAACATATCCTGCATTCAGTGTTTGGAAAGAGTGCTGTTAGCTGCACCTTTAAAAGGGTGATTCTGTTTGCTCACTTAGGAATGTCAAAACTTTATTTCATGAAGTACATTAACTTATAAAAGTCTTCCCAATCCACCATTCTTTTTGCTAGTATGTCTTTTTCTATCGTTTTACAAGCATTTTGAATATTTACATTGAAAATTACATTTTTTTTCCAGTTTTCCATCATCAAATTCTTACCTCCAAAGTACAGCAGAGGAGCCCATAAGGGGTCTCATCATAGATTCATGTAGGGCTGCAACTAACGACTATTGCTATAAATTTGAATCCAATAAACCATTTATTGGCAGTTTATCGACAATTGAATATTTGTTTACATCACTGTTTTTACGTCAGATGTATTAGTAACCAATTTGACATTTTAAACTGACAACGGAGAATCTAAAAAAAATAAGGTAAGTTGGCAAAAAAAAAAATCTAGAAAACTTTTTATATCCACATCAGACCATTGGGCTGCTAAAATATCTCTTGTGTTTGACTACTCTTAAAGCTATCTTTATAGTGCAAGTTCAGCCAAATGGGAGAGACCACCTGCAGGTCTTATAGCTCTGTCACATGAGTCCGACTAACTGTTTTTTCTCATGGCGTACCCCATCTCTGTCTGCCTGAGCTATTGGATGAATGAATCAGTGAATAGATGGATGAGTGTATCACAAAACATTTCAGAGGACGGGATGCGTTGAGGAATGCTGTGGCTAAATGGGTCAGGTCCCCTTAGACAATGGTGGCTTTACTTTGTGATACGCCGGAGCAGACAGGAGGGTAGAGAGGGGGTACACCCATGCTCTCTGTACCAATTATGGACATAAATAACTTCCTCATATGGCTGCCATGGAAATTAGGGTCAAATGGTTAACTCTGTTTTCAAATAACTGATTCACTTTGGTATGTTACAGAGCAGAAATAGGAGGAGATATTTTAAGCAATTTAGGACCATTGTGAGCATTGTTTTAAAGCTGGTACTGATCAAGTTTCAGCTCTTGTCTGTGTTTTTCAATATTCTGCAGACTTTGTCATGTCAGTGTCTCTCTCTTTATGTTTGTTGACTGTTTATGTACAAAACTCAGGCATCAAGTGTCTTGACCCGTTGGCAAATACCAGACACTCTTATCAGGTGTCTCTTAATACCGCTGCAGATGGCAGGGATGCAGCGTGGCGTTCCAGTAAACTGTATATTTAGAATCAGGGAAGGTGATGACACTAATGACCAGGGTGATGTTGAAGATGACAGGTGAGAAGGTTTAAAGATTAGGTGTTGATTAGAGGGTGTGCTGGTGAGATTATCAAGATGACAGGGTGGACTCCTGACGTGTTATTTGAAAAGGCTTAAAGCTGCTGTAAATTAGTACCCTTTCCATGTGTGCCGGTGTTTGTAAAGAACTCTGCTACAGCATAACTCTCAGTCCCTGCAAGCGGGGAACACGGTTACTTAAATGGCTGAAGAGAAGTGGAGTGGAGCTGTTATTCAAAGAAAGATGGAGAGCACTTGAGAAGACTTTGATGCCTGATCAAAGTATATTTGGCATGGCTTTAGCAATATAAAATACAGTCTGATCTCCTATGTTTGGAACACATGATCAGTAGATCAATCAAAATGGTTTTGTCGCAAAACCATTTTCTTCCAAATTATACCAATTTCATCAAAACCATGGACTCCTCAAATTAAGCCCAGTAAGCACACCTGAAAGAGATTGACTGATACAGTTTGTTTTTTCTTTTAAGGCCGATGCTGATACCAATTATTGTGGCATCAGTCTATACAATCACTGTTTTTTCGGGGGAGGGATTCCTTAGGTCAAGATTGTTTTTTCTTTCTCTATTTACATAATAAAATGACACGTTAATACAAATAACACCAATAACAGTAAAAATTTAAATTTAAACAAAGAGAAATGTATTTACAATGTGATCTGGAGGTATGGCTGCTGAATGCAATAATGAATCGGAGAATGCATGCACATGCTAGATGCCAATAAAAGAAAACAAAAATATTGGCAGCAAACATCAGTCAGAAAAAAAAACAGCATGTACTTGAGTTTCTTTAGTAATAAGGTGTTGAAAAAGCAATTTTAACCTGAAAATGCACAATATATCAGTATATATTCACAGTAATTTGTTGTACCTGCAAACTTTTGGTACCTGTGTAAAAGAAAGACTTGCCATCATGTCTGATGTATTTGTAATTAAGCAAAGAAGAAAAAAAATAAACAAATAAAAAAACAGTAAACAAACAACTTTATGATCATTTGAAACCCCATGAGATGCCTGAGGTTCTACTAATCAACATTTTTACAATAACTTGGCTCAAATGTTTTGAAATGCATTGGGATTATAAGGTCCTGTCAAGGAATCGGTAGCATTTCAGTTTGTCATAGTCATATCTTTATGGTGAGTCAAAATAAGCGGGTCAGCTAGGAATAGCTTGAGCTGTGACACTTTACTTAAAAAAATGTATGAATTCCAATTTAATTAAATGTGTTCTCAAAAAATCTTGTTGCTGTTTAAAGAAGTAAAAAAAAAAAACGAGGCTTTCAGGTGTGTTAAGAAAAAAATGAGCAGGGTGGCAGACTACAGGAGCCGATTAATACCTCAGTTGCTCCTATTTTCCCCAGCATGCCAGAATGGCAGCATAAATTCACCCTGTTGGTCCAGGCAGCATCTGACAGGTCTTTAACTAGGCTGCTGTTACTCAGAATGTCCTCACACTTTCCCACTGAAGCATAAAGTGATGGAAAAAACACACTGATTTACCTTGTTGAAAATACAACAAGAACTCAAGTTACATTTACTTCAAGCCCACTTCTAGATAATGGGGTTACATAAATCGATAAATTCCACATTTTGTAAGCAGTTATCATTTATATTTGGCCCCATTATGTCAAAAATAAAGCTGCTTGTACTTTGAGTACTTTAAAGGGATAGTTCGGTATTTTTGACATGAATCTGTATGGCATCCCGATCACCAGCGGCATGCAATCACACTGGCTTACCCCTGGCAGCGTCCTGTGAGCAGAGTTATCGTCCAGTTTTGGTCAAGCCGAAAGTAGTCCTGCAGGTTTTTAGGAACAGCGAAATAAAACTTTTCTCTTCCCAAAACATTATGTGTCCAAAAGAGTGATATTTTCGCATCCCAAAAACATTGCAGTGGCGGCGGAGGGAGACATGGCTGTTGTTGGGCATACAGATTCATGTCAAAAATACCGAACTATCCCTTTAATGATTATATCTGAAGCTGGGCCTTCATGTAGGCAGAGCTTTTAGCTGTCCCTTTCACAACACCCCCAAAATAATGAATATTGATAATGTTTAAGTATTTGTACCAAATTAGCTCTGTTTATGACACTGATCCTTTTTCTCCTTTGTTTGGTCCTGCAGAGTGCAGCAATGGAAGAAACAATAATATGGGAACAGCATACGGTGAATCTTCACAGGGTAAGTTCTCACTACTTTCAAAACCAACTCTTCCCTGCCGTCTTCTCCCTGCTTCTCTTTAGCAGCACACTCTTCCCTCGTTCCTCTCAGGCCTTCTCTCGAATCCTTTGTCCATCCACACCCCTTCTCTCCTTAACCTAGAGACCTGCGGGTTCAGGAGCAGGATGTGTGCTGATAAAACAATAGTCAGGGAATCCAGATGGCAGGAAACGAGGCTAAGGAAGACAAAAATCGGCATCCTTTTCCTTGCCGTTACATTACACTTCCTCTCCTGCAGCTAACTCTTCTACTTCATGATGGTGCTTCAGAAAAAAAATCTGATCTGTGATTAATTAACTTTTTGTCCTGTGATTATGATTGAGCCGCCTTGCATTTTTTCATACGGCTGCAATCAGTTCTCCAAAACTACACCCTGGCTGTTTTATGGTATCCAAGATTTCTGACTGCTAAGCGTTGAGACGGTAAACCATGCATGGATGAAGCTGCTGTATCATGGGATTGAGGCAGAGCACCTGTCTAGACTGGCCTTGCTTGCGGTAATCTAATTAGTAGCAGCTTTATTGAAGCTGGAGGAGCGGCGCAGTGTGACCTCAGCCTTGCAGCTCTTATGTTACGATGTCGTAGTGAGATTTGTCCGTTGCTTCACAGGCCTCCTCTCTTGCTTCTTTATTTGCAACAGCAAAGTAAAAAACCCTACTAAAGATTTGCAGAGTTTCGTCTTGTCAATTAGCTAAGCTTTTACACACCTGTTTTATCACATTGAAATGTGAAAATGCAACTCTATTAGCTCTGCACATTATTAGCTCTGCACATTATTAGGAAGTCATTAGATCAGGTGTTATTGTAAAATATTTTAATTCCTATGATGGATGTTTTGGATTTGATCATTTGCAGCTCTTGTCTGAATTATATAAATACTCTTATCAGTATCAGTCAGTGTTGTGTGTGTTTCTTGTTGACAGGCTGCTGGATTTGGGTTTGGCATCGCCATCTCAGGTGGACGAGACAACCCTCATTTCCAGAGTGGAGAGACATCAATTGTTATATCTGATGTGCTGAAAGGAGGACCTGCAGAGGGTTCACTTCAGTAAGCTGTGGACTATTTCACTGTCGATTCTTTTTTGTTTTTCATTTCTCATAATGTTTAACATCTCGTATCTTTTTGGTTTTAGAGAAAATGATCGAGTCGTTATGGTGAATGGTGTCTCTATGGATAACGTGGAGCATGCGTATGCTGTTCAGCAACTACGCAAGAGCGGCAAAAATGCAAAGATTGTAAGTTCAGCACATCTTACTGAATGTTTTATATCATCATTACTGTCTGGCCTGTTTCATAAATAAGGGAAACCTGATATTAACCAACTTTAACATTCAAAATATCTCTTTCTTTCCAGACTATTCGTCGGAAAAGAAAAGTACAAATCCCAGTTTCCAAGCCCGGTGATAGGGAAACAATGTCTGAGCATGAGGAAGAGTACAGCGATGAAGATGAGCGTTATGATCGCCAAAGGCGTCACACGCGTGAGCGGAGTAACAGCGGGAGGCGGGATCTCAGTCCCTCGAGGGAGAGAAGCATCTCACCACGATCTGATCGCCAATCGCGAACCTCATCTGCTCCTCTCAAGCCTTCCAAGGTCACCCTGGTCAAATCCCGCAAAAATGAAGGTGAGTTTTGATCGTTTGGGTTCAATTCCCATAGCCTCCACTCTGGCTTCCTGAGCAAGACCCTTAACCCCACACTGCTGCCTGGGCACCCCATGATGGCAGCCCACTGCTTCCAAGGGGATGGGTTAAATGCAGAGGTAAATTTCTCCAATGTGAGATCAATAAAGTTAAATTTCTTTAGAATCACTTTAAAATGGGCTAAAGAGAAAGTAAACAAACCAATCATTTGGCAGAAAGAAAAGGGAATTACTACTCAAAGTTTCTTATATTAGCTGCCAGTTAGATATTATAAAAAAAGAATCCAAATACCATAAATTCCGGACTATAAAGCGCACCTGATTACAAGCCGCACGCTAATTTTAGAAAGAAAATAAATTTTGTACTTTTATAAGCCGCACCGGATTTTAAGCCGCAGGTTTCCCACATTGTATGAGATATTTACAAATAAAAATATTTTACGTTAGCATTTCTTAACGTTTGATTTAATCCATATGATAAAAAAACAAATATTATGAACGTTTTTTTTTTTTTTTTCAAACTACCTGTAACACATTTTAAAACACATGTGTCGGTAACACGCAAATAACGCTGCATGTGCCGGGACTTTTAATTGAACAACGCATTGAACAGAACATTGCTGCCGACCAGGAAAAGTCCTTAATCATTTTCTTCTTCCTCCTGCGCACTAAAAGTCCTCTTCCTCGGTGTCTGAATGGAACAGCTTCAAGATGCTGTCGCTGACTTCAGTCTCATCCTTGTCGCTCTCACTTGAGCACTCGCGGTCCTCTTCATCCCGCAGCAGCCCAGCCTTCTGAAACCCGCCGGTGATGCTGGATGTTTTAACACGGCTCCACGCATTGAGAACCCACTGGCAGACATCGGTGAAAGATGCCCTTCGCATGCGGCCAGTTTTGGTGAAGGATTTCTCGCCACTGGTCATCCACGTCTCCCACTCACTGCGCAGTGCCACTTTAAATGCATGGTTCACACTGATGTCCAGTGGTTGCAAATACAGCTGCAATTGAGTTTGTCCTCTTGATGGCAGCTTTTACAGAATCTGTAATATGGGCCCTCATGCTGTCCATCAAGAGCAGTGCTTTTTTTTTTAATGAAAAAATCCCCCCGGACGCTTGCCATAGCACTCCGTAAGCCATTCCTTCATTAGGCTTTCTTCCATCCAGCCTTTCTTATTAACTTTCACCACGATTTCTTTTGGGATTTTTTCCTTTGGCATTGTCAGCCGCTTAAAAATCACCATGGGTGGAAGCTTTAGTCCGGATGTTGTGCAGCTCAGAACACAGGTAAAGTGCGTCCTCTCGTGACCCGTGGTTTTTACTGAGATGGACGAGTCACCTTTTTTATTAACAGTCCGCATGAGAGGCATGTCATAAGTCAAAGGTACTTCATCCATGTTTATAATTTCATCTGGCCCGATGGAATGCTCCGCTATCTTTGTTTGGGTGAAAGTACGGAAGAGAGCGAGTTTTTCCTCATAGTCGGGAGGGAGCTGCTGACACAACGTCGTGCGCGCCCGGACCACCAGGCCTTTTCGTTTCATAAATCTAAAACACCACGATGGCCCACCTCTGAAATCTTGAATTTTCATGTCGGTGGCTATTTCTTTAGCCTTCAGCCTGATCTGCACGGTGGATACACCGCGGCATCCCGCTCGCTGTGTGTTCACCCAGTCTTCAAGACAGTTTTCAAGCTCTGGCCACCTGCTGTGATTACCTCTGAAAGCTTTCGTGGTCTTTTTGCACCGAGTCAGTTCCTCACGCTGTTGTCTCCACCGTCTCACCATCGACTCATTTATCACAAAATGACGTGCGGCAGCTCGATTTCTGTTTTCAATCGCCAGATTTATTGCCTTTAATTTAAAAGCGGCATTGTATGCTTTTCTTCGAGTATCCATGTTGAGGGTCAATATGAATGACTGATTTACAAGACTGCAAATAACAGTGAAAGTGAGAATTATGTATCGCACAATTTCATTTGACCTCTCTGAATATCCATCAATTTAATTGGTCTGTTTTTCGCGCCATGAAAAAAAAAAAAAATTTATTAGCCGCACTGTATTATAGGCCGCAGTGTTCAAACAGCGGGAAAAAAGTAGCGGCTTATAGTCCGGAATTTATGGTACAAGAAACAAAGCTATCTGAGACCCACATTTATAGTGTAATATAGATGCTCACTGTGCTGTTTAGAAGCCCTCAATAAAAACTGATCCTGTCAGTGAGCCCCAGGGCAGCTGTGGCTACAATGTAGCTTGCCACCATCAGTGTGTGCTTGTGAATGGGTGAATGAATGTAGTGTAAAGCGCTTTGGTCAAGTCTCCTGACTTGAATAAAGGCGCTATATAAGTACATGCCATTTACCATTTTATTCTTTCAGAAAAATTGTCATGTTATTTTTTTGATATTTCTATAATAAAATGAATATTATCATTATGTTGATTACATACATGTAGAGAAAGAGAGAACGGCAAGGTTGTCCTAAATTGGTTCTTGATCTTCAGGAAGGAAATGAATAAGACTTAATGGTGTTATTAGCATTTTATTTTTCTTGGTGAGAAGCAGTCTGCTTTGCAGGTAAAGTTTTCCATTTGCGACTTGTGAAATTTAGAAGTAATGTGTGGAAATATTGGAGTTTTAAACTTGCATAAGTTAAGTTCAGCTTGCACAAAAGGTTTAGTGGTTATTTCAGACGGTAAATAGGCTCTTAATCTAACCTTGTTGTAATGTTTTGAAAACAGAATATGGCCTACGGCTGGCCAGCCACATCTTTGTGAAGGACATTTCCCCAGAGAGCCTGGCTGCCAGAGATGGAAACATCCGGGAGGGAGACGTTGTGCTAAAGGTGAGCCTTCACATGGATTGGCCAAATTGTGGTGGAGTAAAACAGCAGTGTATTTAGTCTCTGTTTTTGGAAAAACTTTTTGCTTTCATCTGTAAAATGTGGTTCGCACATTATTCTTGACTTTTGCTTAGTTTGCTTGTTTGTAGTAGAGTAAACTATACTTTTCTGACAGTCTTTGGACTTTTCTCGGCCTATGTGTAAGCGGATTGATCTCCTTTAGCCTAAAATCTGGGCAAAAAATGAAAAATCTGAGTGTAGTTAGTGCCTCCTCTGTAACAGCAGACTGCAGCAGTAAACCTGTGCCGTTGGTTTAGCTTCTTGTGCTGAACTGCTCCTCCCACTCTGGCAGATCAATGGCACGGTTACAGAGAACCTCTCGCTGATAGATGCCAAGAAGCTGATCGAGAGGTCAAAGGGGAAGCTGAAGATGGTGGTGCAGAGAGATGAAAGAGCCACGCTGCTCAACATTCCAGACCTTGATGATAGCATCCCGTCAGCCAATAACTCAGACAGAGATGGTGAGAATAAGTAATGAACGACTGCAGCTAGTGCAGGATTTAGAAAGATCTGACAGCAGTTTTATGAGATGTAGAAAACCTTTTAAAAACAGTTTAAGTAGGTTTATTGTTATTACTTTTATATGTCTTATGGAAACTAACATATAATTAATTTCACTTGGAAAGACATTTCAGAGATCCATTCGCTGACATCTGATCATTCCAACCGATCCCATGGGAGAGGTCAATCGCGTTCTCCTGACAGGCCGGACACAGCGGACCACCTCCGTCACTCTCCTCGACAGATCAGCAACGGCAGGTAGGCCAGCCTCACACATGGCTGCAGATAGGCTGATGGGATGTAGCAGTCACATGTGAAACATCCGTATATCCTTATAGCCAGTCCATACATCATGTCCACACCCACAGGTGAGCGGGTGCTGAGTAAGCACCTCGGAGCTCATTAATCAGTATGTGGAGACGTATCATACACAAAGCATCGTGTTCCCCATGGAGCCATCAAATGCCTTCCAGTTACAGCTTTCTGTGGGACTGAATCAGCAATGAAAGCAGAAATCAGTTCAGCTGCTGTTTGACTATGAGATGTTTGCCGAGATCCTCAGCTTTTACTCCTTTGTGCTCCTTTCCAGTGATTACTGTGTAATGAACACACTTTGAGGCCATCTTTGCAGTCAGGTTGAGCCTTTTCTGTTATTTCTTTTTTTGTAGAAGCAGCAAGTTCCCTAATGTATAGATTGCGAAATATATTTTGCAGCAAGCCTAAAAATGCAGTCTGTGTCCCACCTGGGTATTGAACAGGATGACTGTCCACCTGATAAATGAGGATGTAGGAGTGAATGCTTATTATGGTATCTCTTGCAGTTGGGACATATGGAATATAACCGATTTAGCTGCAGTGAGCGTGCCTTTTACTTTGATCTATAAAAAGAATAGATAACAGCAAGGCTTTAAAAAATTAAGTCAGGTCTGAACTACTAATGTCATACACTTTATCATACAAGTTGTTTTTTTTTTCTTCTATATTAGTAGTAAATTGCAGAAAGCCTTTATAACTGTAATCCTGATCTAAACATTTGCCAGTTAATTTGTAGCACAATAGACTTGAGTTTTTGTGATTTCTCTTTTTTCTTTTTATTGATGTTTTCATTATATTGAGTTTCACTGTAGGGTTTTTTTGGCCTTCATTCACAGCTTCTATTGATAGAAATGTGCAGAGAGTATAAGGGGGCAGTTATTAAAGGTCCAGAAGGTAGCTCTCTACCACAACGCCCCAGGCATCCCTATTTTTTCAACCAGAGTTTATATACAAATATCAAATACAAACAAACTTTTCTTAGATTAACGGTTAGCTGTACTAGAAAGCAAGTTGTTCAGAGTATCATTTTGGATGTAGGGCTTTTCCAACCTTTGCTGTCCAGAATGCATTGAAGGGTTCAGGAACATTGCATCTAAACTCAAAAGGTCAACTCTGTTTAATCCTCCATGGATCAAATTTAACTCAACAACCAGGGAATGGTGTAGCCTGCATCTTTGTATTTATTAGCATATTGAATCTCAAACTGGTTATTTCTAAAAAAAAAAAAAAAAAAAAGAAAGAAAAGGGAGAAAAACTGCTATCATAAGCTAGCAGAAAATATTGATGTCCGACTGAAGGCAGCAGAGACCAAGCAGGAAGGAAATCTGCATTTTAAACATGCTAATCCATGCTAAATGTGTAAGCACTTAAATATCTTCAATAGATCTATAGGGAATGTACAAATGCATTTAGACAGCATGCAATAGTGGAGATTTTAGTGCCTCTTTAACTTCAGTACACTTATGCAGTGGTCAAAAAACAATCCCACATTAAGATATAGCTGTTTTTAATCCATCAACTACACTTAATACAAGGCAGATGGGTGTTCATATTCAGCTGTCGGGGAAAGGGTTACTCTGTAGATCTGTTCCCAAGAACATTTAAAGATTAAATCATGAAGTGAAACATTGTCTTTTTTTGGTAATGCTTCTAAATAAAGAACTCAAACACAGAGATTTAAGATAACTGAGATTTATTAGATTTATTCATATAATGATTGAACATCGCCCTGATTTCTTTGTTTTCTTGATTATAAGATGGATAAGAGGATATCACTGATCGGTTCTACACAAAGTGAGAAAATGACGATAAAATGTGTTGTAGCTCATTGGTATTTATTGAAAGAAAAGAGAAGAATGCAACCTCCAACTCTCCCTTTATTTGAACATTTTAAGACTTGGGATCATTTATTTCTTCTCCTCAGGGTAGCTTTCTGTTGAATTAATTGTTTGTTTTTTATCTGGACACTGTCGCATATGTAAAAGCAGCATTATCTTTCATTTTTATATATCCCTCTGAAGTTGAACATGCCTTTTTAAGCCTGCTTCGTATTACAGGCATAAACACATCCAAAAAAACAAGCGCATACTGAAACATCTGCTGTTGTAGCAAGATGTCAGGTCACTATGTTTCTGCTTGTTTAACTGGCTTTTTAGCTGCTAGTCAGTAGATTAACCTTCAGTGCAGCTGAATTTATTTGGTGTTTCAAACTGTGGTTTTAATGCTGCATAAGGACGCTGCTTAGATTGATTACTGTGGCTAGGGAATTCATGAATGTTTTATTTTAGCTCTTTAAACATCTTGACTATTTCCATGTAGAAACATTTTAAGGAGCTTTTTTCTTTTAATATATGTGGCAATATATTTTTCAGCATCACTAGACTGATATAAAGGAATCCTGCTGCTGTCTCCCTGTTAAAGGGGGGTTGAAGGAATTTGACATACTTCCCACAGTGTTTGGATACATCTGATTGGCTGAAAGGCTTTGGGAAATTCTTTCCATCAAGATGGATATCTGCTCCTGCCCTTTCCTAAATACGACATTAAAAAAACAACATTCTCATTGAGGGTTTGTCGGCGAGTTTATGTTCGCTCTTTGCATAGGAAAAAACGTTCCCTCTGTTGTTTTTAAAAGGAATTAAGATCAGATTCTCCTGTTTAGCATCATGGTTCAACTTAAAGATGCACACATGTGAGTAAGATGTTATTGTCGTGCCGTTGTGGGATGTATTTGTTATTGCTTTATTATCATGTTTGTTTGTTATATGCTCTGTAAGTTGCAACAAAAAATGACCTCGTTTAACACTCAGTTTTTTTTTTGGTCTGTTCTCTTGTTCATTTTTTTTTTGGCAATGTGAGGAAAATGTACAAGCAAGGGAACAGAACAGTGGGTTCTGTCAAACAGTGTTTGTCTCTATAACGCTTTTTTTTTCTTTTATAACATCATTCTGCTGAAATAAGCAAAAACATTGAGCCGACTCTGCCGTCCCACCTTTATTTTATTTTGAGTCTCTTCTCACTCTTGTTTTGATTCATGATTTCTATGCACAAGGATGCACAACCCAGGCCTTTAGCTCTGTTATGTATGTTCACTATGCTTCCCTCATTAACCTCTCTTCCTCCACTCTTCTGCTCTATTATTTCGCTTGCATCCAAATCCACTAATGTTTAATTGTAAAATTGAATTGTATACAGAGCTGCAGGAGAAAATCAGGAACCTAGAAAAGGCAAAGGCTGCAGCTTGTCATTACATATAAATGCATGTGCTGTTCTGCTTGTCTCGCTGCGCTGCATCGTGTTTTATTTGTTATGAAGGATTGTACTCTGCATGGAATATCTTTATTTTTTCTCCACATGGCTGAAGGAAAATAAGTTTGGACAGGCATGAGTGATGGTGAGCTGGTTTCCCCTACTGCACCTTCACATTTCTATTCAAAGGCTTTCTAATTCAACTGAAGTGTTTTGGCGGCAGGGAGCCATGTGACCAGATTGTAATCCAAGCATTGTCTCAAACTGCAGTTTTCTTTATCTAACACCCTGCTGGACTCACACGTTTTCTTATCAGACACTTCTGTTGGGAAGTATATAAACTAGAAGTTTGTTTTATGAGCCTCATTCTCTTTGTGTGTTTTACTGAGAATTTTACTTTAGAAAGATAAACAAAACAAGTTATTTCTTTCCTAAACTTTCATTGTTTTATTTAACCACTCTTAACTTTAACTCTTTTGGTTAGAATACAATTTAAAACTATTTGAATAAAATCAAATGAGGTGATAATCTTAACTTTAAATTAAGTTAATAAATTATCTTCCAGCTGCAAATCATTATTTTAACTGCTTATTGACCCCCCCCCCCCAAAAGCGTGTCCTTTGACGTCCTCCTTGTTCCACTCAGTTTCCTTTCTGTTTTGTTTTTTCTTCCTGCCAATGTCTGCAGAGGACAAAGCTGCTAAACAAAGACTTGTTTTGTACAAACCCCCCCCAGAGAAAAGAAACGTCATTCCAATCTATAAAGACATTTTTTAAAACTGTATAAACTGATCTTAGTTGCTTTTGCAAGTAATCTAAAATAGAAGATGTTTTTGTTTCAGTCATCGGAGTCGAGACGAGGACCGCATCTCCAAACCAGGGGGCATTTCCACTCCGGTGAAACTCTTTGACGACGGGGTTTTGTCTCAGGCCAGCGACCAGGCCAGCTCCAGCAATGACAAACAGTTACCTCCTCTGCCTGGTAAATAGAAGCCGTTTGTAATATAAAACGTGTATTGCTTCCCTTTACTAGAGTTCACTGATATTATCCTAATACAAGCCCCTAAAGTTACACCATCATTGTTTTATGCTAGACCAGATAATTTTCAGTTTTGTAGCGCACTTACACCCTCTTTGCATTTACTTCAGAACCAAAGCCAGTTTATGCACAACCCGGTCAGCCGGACGTGGACCTGCCTGTCAGCCCATCTGATGCCCCAGTGCCCAGCGCTGCTCATGACGAAAGCATTCTTAGGTAAATTATTCAGCTATTTTTTTTATTCACTGAACAGATCAGTGGAAAAGCAGCATGAGACGCATGCCAAATCGAGTGCACTAATTTTTCACCTCAATGATATTATCCCAAACTGGATGTCTTATATTGATCGTTTTTAATTTCCTTTATTTACCAACATTTGTTCCCTTGTTTCTGTTTTTTTTCTTTGTCTGCAGGCCAAGTATGAAGTTGGTCAAATTCAAAAAGGGAGAGAGTGTTGGGCTGCGGTTAGCCGGGGGAAACGATGTGGGAATTTTTGTGGCAGGAGTTTTGGAGGACAGTCCAGCTGCCAAGGAGGGGCTGGAGGAGGGGGACCAGATTCTCAGGGTATGCTTCACTCCCTACTCTCAAACTCGTTTTTCATAGATGGCAATACTGCTGATGAAGAGACAGTATTCCTTTTTACACCTTGTTTCTCCCAAACTCATATGGCTTGAATAGAAAGAACATCTGGTCTTACTGTCAAGAAATAAACAATCCATTGATTCTGTCTAATTAAATGTGAGGTAAAGCTGTTGTTCACAGGCACAGTAGATCTACTTATTTGAAAGATCTTGGGAATAAAGAAACAATGTATCTTTTAGTTTATGAGTCATTCCCGGGATCGGTCTCCTATCAAAATCTCCCGTTGTTTCCAGAATGAGAAAACAATGGAGGTCCTTCTTTTACTTCTGACCTCAGAACAGTTGTCAGACTGTTCAGCTGAACATTAGTTAAACTCTGTTGATGGGATGATGGAAGCCCTATATGTCATTGCTGAACTCATTCTGATTGCATTTAACCTGCTTTAAAGCTCAGTAGACAAACTTAAAGCCTCTATAAAATAATTTTCAAAGGAATAATGCTACTGCATGCAGCCCTTACTTTGTGCCTCTCTGTACTCTTCCAACTGTACAAACACATCTCTGAGACTTCCAGGACATTGTTTTGCCTCATTAGGTGGTTTCCGGGTTGGTCACAGTGTGCTAGTGAAGATAAAGACGTGTAGCCCTTCTGTTTCTGGGAAGGATAGCGCTGTCATTTCGACATTCACTGACCCAGTCCATGTGTTTCTGATTCCCCTGCTGCCCCTCAAGCAGAGTCAATAAACAGCAGCCATTGTGTTTAGTGCAGCAGTAGGAGGCCGGGGCAGAAGGCTGCTTGCTTATTAGAGGAATTCTCTGATGTGCTTCTGCTGAGATGCTTTTTTTATGTTTGTTTATTTTTGTTTTTTGTCCTCTGTCTGTGCAGCAAAACAAAAGTCCGAAACCATAGCAAAGCACAGTAAATACATCAATACGACTAGAATCTTCTGTTGCTGCAGCAGAATTTCAGTTCTTTTTATTCTGTATTTGTAGGTTAACAATGTGGACTTTGCCAACATCATCCGAGAAGAGGCAGTATTGTTTCTGTTGGATCTCCCAAGGGGAGACGTTGTTACCATTCTGGCACAGAAGAAAAAAGATGGTAAATTTAAATTATATTTTTACTAGTATGATCACATAAGAACCAAAATATGCATTATATTGAGATTTGCCTTTGTTTCATTTCAGTATATCGGAGGATAGTGGAGTCAGACGTTGGTGACTCCTTCTACATCCGGACACATTTCGAGTATGAAAAGGAATCTCCGTACGGATTGAGCTTTAACAAGGGTGAGGTTTTCCGAGTGGTGGATACACTCTACAATGGCAAGTTAGGCTCCTGGCTCGCTATCCGCATTGGAAAAAACCACCAAGAAGTAGAAAGAGGCATCATTCCCAACAAGAACAGGTAAAAGAAATGAGGGAGGTTGCATCTTTCCTTTTTACTTTCTGTACAGCTTGTTATGTGACTTTATGAAAAGGTAGAAGTTGAAAAGGGAACCGTAAATATTGTCTTGTATTTTCAACTCATATCTGGATTCATGTTATAATAAGTTTTTAATTGATGCTTTCTGAACTGGCAGATTTCATATTATAAAGTGTAGCGCTTTGTTTCAGTATGTGTAGATATGAGTAGTAAATATGTAGCAGTTGTATTTTGTTCATTTGCGCCGCCTCTAACTAGTAAATAGTTAGGAATGTCACCGTAACTGCCTCTCCTTGCGTTTACGCTGACATGCCTAACTATTTACTCACAGAAACTACCAATGTCAGTTTCCTAATGAAGCACATTTAAATTCCTGCTGCAGGTTTGACTGCAGTGATGTACATAGAAGTGATGCAATTAAAAAAAAAAAAAAAACACGATTAAAAAAGAAAATCAAAGTAAAAATCAATATTGTACACGCATTTTCTTATGTATTTACTGTCTTTTCGGGTTTAATTTTTTATTTATATCTCAAATTTTTTGTTTACTGTATTAAAAGCTGTATTTTACAATATGCTCAAAATCTATGTGTAGTCTATTTTTACGCGACTGACCATTTAGTATGTCCTTCTATGACTCCATTAAAGTTGGTTTATTAGCTACAGTGTCATGCAGAGACATTTTTAACCAAATTTTCTGCTTATAGAGCGGAGCAGCTGTCTAGCGTGCAGTACACCCTCCCTAAAACTCCAGGGGGCGACAGAGCAGACTTCTGGAGGTTCAGAGGCTTGAGGAGTTCCAAGAGGAATTTGCGGAAAAGCAGGGAGGACCTGTCAGCCCAGCCGGTTCAGACCAAGTTCCCTGCATATGAGAGGGTTGTGCTGAGAGAAGGTGAGTGTCTGAATCCACTGTAGCTGCAGTAAAACATATGTGGGCTTCTGCATGCAAACTTTTGTTGTAAGAATAAAAAAGTAATGTGAACTGAATGAGCTGTTGATGTTTATTACATGCTACTAAACCAAGAGTTATGCACTGAAGCTGGAAACATGCCATAACTGAGATGGCTTGTATGTTTATTCCTCATTAATCTGCCGTTGTTGGATCACAGCTGGATTCCTGAGGCCAGTGGTTATCTTTGGGCCGATCGCAGATGTGGCCAGAGAGAAACTGGCCAGGGAGGAGCCGGACATTTTTGAACTAGCAAGTAAGTAGTAAAGGGAAATCTGTACAATTATCACTTTATGCGTGGTTTCCTTGTATGTCTGTAGGACTGAGGCTACCTATTACACATCAGAGAAACAGTATTCTAAAGCAAAAGAAAAGTAAAAAGCCAGAAATCCAACAAAGAAAAAATTTCTTTGTTGGATTTCTGGCATTTTACTTGTACTTGTATATTTACTTAATGTCAAGTTGGTCTGAGTTCCACTATACTCTCAGATTTCAGCAGGACTTAATATCCGTTTTGATTTCCATCCTTATCTACCTCTCCTCACTTCTCCAAATTTCAAGCAGCTCAAAAATATGGCTTTCATTCTTACACTCAACTCAGCTGCGCTCTGATTCAGCCCACTCCCACCCAAGTGTTTCCATTCCTTAATGTTTGTTTGCACAACTCCAGTGATGTTTATGTAACTGTATTTTCTTTTCAGAAACACAGCAACAACAAGGAGGGGAAAGTATGTCACTTAGTGCATCAAATATATCTATATTTTTGTTTTATTTAAGTCAGTGAATGAAAAATAATCTATATTTACAAGTTTTTGGTGACTATTTCACCTAATATGTTAATGTTTAAACGACAACCATTGCTTTGTTAATGCATAGAGGGGAATAGCACTTAGTTTAATATGTGTGAATTTTACATCATTGTCAAGTTAAAAATCACTTAAAAAAAACTGTGATTTTACTAATGTTTGGTCATACTGACACACAACTAGCTTTCCCCAGACACTGAGATAGACTGGAGATGCTTGTTTGAGGAAAACCTAGTTATAAAATTGGATTTAACTTTAACAGGCTCTAAAAATGAATGTAAATTAGATTGATGTTGCAAAGAAGACGGTTGTTCTGAAGAAATTTGGCCCAGTGTCAGCAGTGATAAACAAGCACTCTGTCTGCGGGATCATGCATGTGATGGATTTAATAAAAATGTGACGTGAAGAGTGAACTGCCCCCCCTAGCTGTGGCTGTGTGTCAGTGTGACCTCCTTGCTTGTTCTTAGAGAAGTGGGCTTTAAATATTTTTCAATTTGTATGTAAAAAATGAGCCAAATGTTTCATTCAGTGGTATTCCCCTCACTAATACAGATTCTATCATAAAAGATGAAAACAGTAAGGCTGCATGTCAAGCTGTGCAATATAACATGCTTCGAAGAAAACAAGGTAGATGGTAAACATGCCCTAAAATAATATTTATGTTATGAATTTTTTACTTAATTACTCACAAAAATAAAGAAGTATTATATATGAGAGTAAAGTCAGACAATTTAGAGAAGATGGTTTGTATTTTGTTGAGTTAATTTATAAGTTATCTCTAACTTTTTGTACTTCAATTACCAGACAATCTTAGGTACACTTTTCATAGGGTAAAACAAAGTGTTAATTAATTATACATGCAGGGTAGCATCCTCCACATTTACTAGCATCCCCTAGCAAAAAATGTGTTCAAAAAAGAACCTTAAAAATAAATATAGCTTTTTTTTTAGCAGAGCATTAAATTTGAAATTCTTTCTGCAGTTTTTTAAAGGTGAATTTTGAAGATTTCCTTTACTTCCCATATTTCCTACTGACTATATGGTCCAAATTTACCAAATGTCTTTTGTTAGTTCTTTCTCTGAAGATATCGGCATGTCTAGGGAAGGCCTTTTTTTCTTCTTGCTATATTTTGAATAATAACGTCGCCTCACCTCTGCCTTTATTTATGGGCTTCTCCATATTAACCATATCTATTTTTTAGCTACATTTTTGTGTACTTCTATAGAAAGATATAATTTGCTTGGTTTAAAACCAAAAGATGCTTTTAATAAACATGATCTTTTAAGGAACTGCTTTTGATTGAGGCAGAAGTGATTATGCCAACAGCTCCTATTCCTTAATATGGGATGTTTTGCCATTAATAAATAGACAAAGATTAAGGTAACATGTAGTTGTGAGATTATGCTGATAGAAATATCCTCCACATTTTTAGATGGGATGCTAGTCAATGTGGTCAGTTCTGTAAACGGGACAAAAATGTTTTCAATGAGCTAGAATTTTAGCAAAGTTCAGGCTGCTGAATGTGAATGAGGAAAGAAACTCTGCAAAATTATTTAAACCACCTCTATCTTTCCTGCCAGTTTAATGCACTGATAGAAAATGGATCTTAGAATCACTATAAAAAAAAAGAAAAAAACTTTATTTTTTAGAAAAAAAAAAACAGTGATGAAGTTAGATCCCAGTGAAAAGAGTGCTGCATTATGCTTGAACCTCTGTGTGCATGGCTATATTCATCGCTCTTCACTAAACGTGTATCTTAGTGCGTTTTATAAACAGTGTTTGAAGGTCTTAGATCCTATTAGAAGTGAAGCTTATCCTCGTGTTTTGAGTCAGTGAGATGACCCCTCCCACCCCCTCATTTTAACGTTGAACCTTGTGTTCTTGGTCAGGAAACCGTTTCTTACCTTTGTTTAAAGTATAAACTTCTCTCCAGATCTCTGCTGAAATCCATAAGGCCTTTCAATGACACGCAGTCTCATTTAATCCCAAATGACCCTCCTGCTCTTGAATGTTTATATTTATTATCATTGAGCCACACATAATGCGTTCCATGCACTATAATCTACACCACTACGTGCACTTTTTCACACGCGTATTTATTAATCACTGAATTTCATCCCATAAACCCTCTAAAAATACTTAATGTCCGCTGCATGAAATTGGCTGCTGTCTTTATTTTTGGTATGTACTATGTTAACTGTCCTTATAGTCGTACATTTGTCCCCTCCTATTCTGTGAATATTGCGCTTCAAACGGCTCTATTTATGGGAGTTGACAACTGCACGCTACAAAAATGTCTAATTGGGGCAGAGGCTGTGTTTATTGTTTCATAATGGCCCATTTTTCCTCCACAGAGAGCGAACCAAGGGACGCTGGAACCGACCAGAAAAGCTCAGGCATCATTCGCCTGCATACGATCAAGCAGATAATTGACAGAGTGAGTAAAACTAAGATAGACATTTGCTTTTTGCTGCATGTGTTTTGATAAGTGAAACATGATTATATTTACAGCTCAATGCTGCCCACTGGTGGATAAATCTACCTAACAATGCTTGCTACACCTTCTTTGCTTTAGATCCACTTTGCTCAATATTAGATAAATATATTTGCAGTGGATATGATTAAATATGATTTTCTGCTCTTGAAGGACAAGCATGCGGTCCTGGACATTACCCCCAACGCAGTGGACCGTCTGAACTACGCTCAGTGGTATCCGATTGTCGTGTTTCTGAACCCAGACACCAAACAGGGAGTCAAGAACATGAGGACCCGTCTGTGCCCCGAATCCAGGAAGAGTGCCAGAAAGCTTTTCGACCGAGCGCTCAAGTTAAGGAAGAACAACCACCACCTCTTCACTAGTGAGTCTAATCATGGTTTCAGTGGCAGAAAGCTGCCACATTTAGAGGTTTTGTTTAAGGGCAGCTTGTTTGGATTTGGTTGGGTTTGTGGATCATTGTAGTACGATTCATCAATGCTTTTAAAAGAACGGTTCTGGTTAGAAAGGAAAATCCTGTGGGTCCAAGTAGGGGACGGCCTTTGATAGAATATGAATGAGGGCCTATGGCACAGGCATGTTTTATTGATGTAGCTTGCTAACCGTCGCAGATTTTAGTGCTGAGGAAGACTAAGAAACAGCTGAGTCAAACCCTCCCCAAGCCTCTAAACTTCTGCTTTAAACAGAGGAAGAAGAAAATGTATGAATAGTTTTTTCTTAGTGGATTTAGAAAATAACCTTTTTTGTTAATCTTATCTTTACTCTGCCTTGCAAAAGCATTCACAACCCTGGAGCTACTCTAATCTTGTCCATTCACAAAGTTCTTTGGGTAGCAAAGTAGGATGTGATTCTAAAATGGAAGGAAATGGTTTTGCTCCTTTTTCGGAAAATAAATGTAGCAAGTGTAGTGAGCATTAATATAAACCTATGGTAATACTTTGTAGTAGCACTAGTAGAATTTCTAGTGTGACGAAAACACGTTTGTGCTTTTTTTGTGTGTGAAAAATAGCTTGAGCTCAGTCAAATTGGATGGAAAGTATCATTAGGTCATCATCATCAAGTCCTGCAAAAGATACATTTTGAAAAAAAGCGCAGCAGTGGCCTTCTTCTTGTTTTGTTTTTTTCCAAAAAATTTTTTTGTTAATTTTTAAAAGTTGTACAGAAACAATTTCTCCCACCTGAGCTGTGGATCTCCGCAGCTCCTCTGGAGTTTCTACAAGTAAAATGGAAACCAAACTTTTCACAAACTTATTTGTTTACTTAAAAAAAATTTTCAAACTCAGGTGTTGTTTTTTCCTCATTTACTATAAAATAAACTACTGTATGTTGTTTCGTTAAGTGGTTTCTATGCAGTAAAGAGGGGCAAACACTTAAAACTATATAAATATATTTACGAGTCACTTAATCACAGCTAATTACTGTAAATGAGTTGAGTGGAGAGTAGGGTTTTCAAAAGTATCGATACTGAAACGTTGTATCCGGATATAATACTTATTTTCAAAAGTATCCATACAGCCATCTAAAGGACAGAATAGTGGAAATGCACTTTCTGAACACTGTGTGATTGAATAATTCTGTGCATTTTTCAGTTTCAGACTTTTTTTGTAACAGGTGCAGCTGCTGAGAATTATTTTTGTTTAACTGGTTTGGCTAGTGTCATTGTTATGTCTGCAAAACGTAGCCAAGGAAGGAACACTTAATTTTAATTTTGTAAGTTTTTTATCAAGCTTGCTTAATATTGTGCACAGCATACAACCTCAAAATATTATTCTTACTGTTTTTTTATTAATTTCATGTATTTTTTTAGTAATGAAAATATTTTTGTTGAATTTTAGTCTTTGTTTTTATTCTTGTGGTATCGAAAAAGGTATAGCGTATCGAATATTTCACTTAGTATCGGTATCGAGTTGAAAAGTTTAGTATCGTGACAACCCTAGTGGAGAGATGTCAAGTATTGTCCTCCTGTTTCAGCAACCATTAACCTAAACAGCATGAATGATGGCTGGTTTGGAGCACTGAAGGAAATGATCCAGCAGCAACAGAACCAGTTGGTTTGGGTTTCTGAAGGCAAGGTAAGACTTGGTCAAACACGCAAAGTCAAAATGTTAAAGAGTGAATATTGGTATTTATCACACTCTGTTTTATTGCTTGTTTTCTCAGGCTGATGGGGCAGGTGATGACGACTTAGATCTCCATGACGACCGTCTATCTTACCTGTCGGCGCCGGGCAGTGAGTATTCCATGTACAGCACCGACAGTCGGCACACCTCCGACTACGAGGACACGGACACAGAGGGAGGAGCCTACACGGATCAGGAGCTGGACGAGACGCTAAACGATGACGTGGGCCCGCCCACCGGACCGGCCATCACGCGCTCCTCGGAGCCTGTCCGAGAGGAGCCTCCAGTCATCCAGGAGCCCCCAGGCTACGCGGCCTACTCGCACTCCTTGCAGCCGGACCCACTGAACCGCATCGATCCGGCTGGGTTCAAAGCCCCAGTACCGCAGCAGGTAGCGTTTCTGAGAGCTGTACGTCTCCCCTGTTGTCTGGAGGACGTGGTGTGCGTTAGAAGGGTTTTCTGGAGGCGCTATTGAACACATTCTTTGCTCCCTGCAGTTATTCTTTGAGCTATTCTGAAACATCAGTGAGAAATTATAAACTGACGTGAAGCAGGTATATATATCCTGATTATATGCAGAAATATTATACACACACACACATACATATATATATAAATATATATATATATATTATAGTATTTATTTAATCTATTTGCATCTTTGATGTTTGTTTCTTTTTCATTCACTTCTGCAAAAATCTCTAAAGCTCTCCTGTTGTTATAAATTGTTGTATCACCAATGGCTGTCTGATTGTTGCTCATGTCTGCCGGAGAAAATGATGTCTTTGATTTAATAAGTGTCTGTACCAGTAATCACCAGTGTGCACTTTGTTCCATCTATCACACCAGAAAGTATTATGTGCATGATCGGAATACCAGTGTTACTTCAGTGTGTTATGAAATGTAATGAATAATATTGGATTGGCAGGTGTGTATCTAAAATAGAAACAAATTGTCATCCAGTGATGTGTTTATGATCACAAAAAGCGGAAAATATTAACTTATTACGTACATATTCATTATTATTTATATATAAATCATACATATTTGAATATGTATTGTAACCACAGAATTAAAATCCAGTTAGTATTCTTTAATGATCAACCTTTGTCCTGCTACTAATTCCTAACTTATTAGTTCTGTAAAATTATGAAGTTGGGTTTTTTTGTGTCTGCGTAGCCGATAGGAGCAAATTCTCAGCGGAGGATTGTAGCGGAGGTTGGGAAGATAGTAGCATTTGTTGAAACTTCATCAGTGTGTCAGCGCGTGTTATTTAACATTTCTGAACCACTTCACAGAAAGCAGAGGCCACGCCTAGCATCTCGAGGCAGCCTGAGCCCCTGGCTGAGGCAGTGCCCCCTGCTGTCGACGTTACTGTAAAAACTGTAGGGGCTCTGAGCATTGATGAGGCTCCCCCAGCTCCTTACAGCAGGCCGAGCCCCAGCCAAGAGGCTGGCTCGGTTAGGAGGCCCACCCCTGAGCTAGCGCCTCAGAGCATCACCCCAGAGCCTCTACAGTCTGGACTGGCCAGTCCAGAACCAAAGGTATCCATCTGACCGCCACCGGACGCTTGGTGAACCCGGGTTCGGCTCTACTCGGCTCGGTCTGATCTCCTGTGCTGCTGCTGCCTGTCTACCTGCCTCCTGCTTCTCTCTTGCTCTCTTTTTTTTGTGCCCTGCATGTCACCTGATCAAATTGTTGCCCGGAAGAGACAAAGATGCGTGTGCGTGTGAGCGTGTGGAAGCCAGGTGGTGGTAAACAACAGTGGCCTGGGAGCTGCTGCCTGTGTTGATTTGCCTACATGCAGGCGAGCCGTGGAAACTCTGCAGCTCTCACTGTTGCTTATCCTCTTTGCATGGCTGCAACATGTTTGCCTGGTTTCTTGTTGGCTACTAGTGTCAGAGTCTTCTTGTTTTTATAAATGTAAATTGAATTATTATTATATTGTAAAAGTAGTCATATACTCTCCAGCATCATATTTTCTCTTGTCAGGTTTATTTTAATATGGTTCTTCTGATTTGGAAGGAGAGCATATGACTATTTAACCATCTCAGTTAATGTTTTTTTTTTGTATTGTTCCTTATTTATTTAGAATTAATCAAGTTTGTGCTTGTATTTATAAATATTATTATGGGTATTTTAGTTTCTTTTAAACTGCATCAGGACAGTGGGTGATTTATTTTATTTTATGCATTGAGATCAAATCCACATCTGGGTCATTAGTAGGGAGTTAATCTGTCCCTTTTTGTTTCCTCTGCATTACTGAAGAAAATTAAATCCCATTGTTTTGTTGAAGTTTATTAGAAACATGTTCTTTCTTAAATAATTTCTATAAGTTGGGAATCCAGACTTTCCTTTGAGATGTTTTGCTACCTTCGGCTGTGCTGCAATTTCCCTTTGGTCTCAAATTTATTCTGACTAGTAACATCTCCTTCTCAGTGTCTCTATTTCAGGTCTTTTTCCTTCCTGTTTCTTCTTCTGTAAATTAATTTCAAGAACTTTCATGTTTTCGTGCTTCAGCTATTGTTGCTCTGTGCTTTGTTTTACATCCTACTTCTGTGAAGCCTGTATCCTCAGATGTTTTTTGTTTTGTTTGGTAGATGTTCCAGAAGGATCCATACAGCATGGAAAACACGGGGAGGATCACAAACAGTGTGAAAGCTTTGAACTACAACCCTTCGCAGCCATATCACCCTGACCAGCAGCCGTACAGAGATTACGACCACCCGCCCAGCCGCTATGACATCAGCAGTGGTGGCGGGAGTTACCCGGATTCCAAGTACAGAAACAGCGATCATATCCCGCTCTATGAGAACAGTGTGCCTCAGTACGACCAGCAGGAGTGGAATCCCTATGGCCCACCCTCCTCTACTGCCAGCTCCCAGGGTTATGATCATCTGCGTTACAGCGAAGGCCCGGATGCAGAGTACACCCCCCCGTTACGTTACGATGAGCCCCCACCACATCAGGGATTCAATGGACAACCCCGTTACGGCAAACCTACAGGTCCAGTTCATTATGATGACCTTCCACCACCTCCTCAAGGATCTGATCTCGGCTATGACCAGGATCCCCACTTCGGGTACCCCTCAGCCAGCCGCTCCCCAGAACCCGCACCCCAGCGACCCGCCTATAACCAACCACCCAGCTTCCAGCCGAAAGGCTACAAACCTCAGCCCTATGACCATACTCCAGTGAACTCCTTAGCCAGCCTTACACCTCCGCCAAAAACAGAAGCCCACTCACCTTCCCCCATGGTAGCTACTAAGCCCACGCCTTCCAGGGATGAGCCGCCGGAGGAGGATCCTGCCATGCAGCCCAGGTCGGTCCTGACCAGGGTCAAGATGTTTGAGAACAAACGCTCCGTGTCTGTGGACCGAGCCAGAGAAGCAGGAGATTCAACTGGAAACAAGGTGGGGAGTTTGTCTGATTTACACTTGGATGGTGACTTTGAAATCAAACATTTTGTCCAACTGATTGGGTGTTTGTTTAACTTCTGTAGGCAGCTGATTTGCCCCTCAAAGCAGGTGGCGTGATCCCTAAAGCCAACTCTCTGAGCAACCTGGACCAAGAGAAGACCTTTAGGTAAACCTGTAGATTATTTCATTTGCATAGATTTGCCATTTTGTAAAATCCCCTCATCATGTGATTTGGTCCTGGAGTTTTTAACCACATTAATCCTCCTGGCCTCTGAACCGTCTTCAGAGCACCAGAGCCCCAGAAGCCGCAGTTCAAGGCAGCTGATGACATTGTCCGCTCTAACCATTACGATCCTGAGGAAGACGAGGATTATTACAGCAAGCAGCTGTCCTACTTTGACAGACTTCAGACCGGCCCTAACAAACCCCAGCTACAAGCACAAACAAGTCACAGCTTCCCCAGGTGACCCTCAGTGCTACTGATACAGCCCTGATCTTTAGACTTGACCTTTGTAAACAAAAAACAAACAAAAAAACGGTCACCATTTTAACCCACTCACAAAACTGATGTTTTAAGAAACACGTTCTCTCAATAAAACGTGTTTTAGTGAGAGTTTTTTTTTTTTTTTTACCCACTTGGCTCTTAGTCATCCTTTTATCTAAACTAATTAGCACCGATCATATGAAGAAATGACGGATGTCCCAATCTTTAGTGCTCATGATGGAAGCAAACTAAAACCTATAAGGGGATTAATATCCCCCAGCATGACTTAAGCCCTCCTTCTCCCTCTGTGCTCTCAGTCTCTCACACCACTGCATGACTAACTTTTTCCAAGTCTCTTTTTAAAAGATTAAGTGTGTAAAAGAGACACGTTTTAATGATCTGACCTTTTTTATTAGTCTTTCTGTAATGTCCTTAATTTAATCATCTTTATTATATAAAATGTTCTTTCTTTTAAATTTCATTTAGCTCTGTCTTAAATGTGTTAATTTGTGTTATATTTCAGGCTGAGAAATTTGGTTCTCATTATCCTTTGATAAAACTACATAGTCCAGCAAGCAGCACATTAGGAGGGAATTTATGGTACTAGAGAATTTAATGCCTTAAGTTGGTGTTGCTGTAACCCTCAGGAATCATCTTTTGGGGTTGGTTTGCTTTTAAGCAGAGTTTTTCAACGTTAATACTTCTGTTTTAGGACGGAGTCTGTAGAGAAACCAAGTCCAGTGGAGAAAAAGTATGAACCAGTTCCTCAGGTGACGCCCTCTCTGCCACCAGCCACACTGCCTAAACCACCAGCTGAAGGTAATGTTTGCAGCTCAACTTAAACCTTATTTGTTAATTACATCTTTCAGTTTAGCACACAAGGTAGAAATTGGCTGACGTATAGACATCCTCATTAGATCTTGCACAGTGGAGCATTTTTTGATGGGTTTTTTTTCTCTTCACCTCACTTTGTTTTGCACGGCTCTCCAACAGCTAAGCCTCCAGGCCGAGAAAACACTGTCCAGAGCAACTTTCTGCCTCAGAAGAGTTTCCCTGAAAAGTCTCCAGTTAATGGCACAAGCGAGCAGCCTCCAAAGACGCTTCCCAGCTCAGGGGCGCCATCTAGCTACAACCGCTTTGTTCCCAAGCCCTTCACCACCTCAGCCAAACCTTTTTCACGGATGTTTGACAGCCCAAAATTTAACCACAATCTTCTGCCCAACGACAAACCAGAGATTGCTCCAAAGGTAAATAGATTATTTTAGGAGATATATCTGTTTTAAATTACAATACTAATCGGAGATCAGAAAAATATCTAATTCGATTAAAGATACTTTATTAATCCCAAAGGAGGATTAAATGTTGCAGTAAAAGTGTTATTAATGTCGAGGTTTAATAAGGATTTACTAACTGTTTAACACGTATACTTGATGATCAGGGTCCAAGCTCCAGTCCAGTGAAACCTCAGATTCCAGCACAGCCTCAGAATGCAGACCATGACAGCGGCGTGGACACTTTCACTCGCACAGTGGATAATCGCCCCAAACACCAGCAGAATAACGTCAATGCTGTGCCCAAGGCCATCCCTGTGAGGTAATAAAATCAGACTGAGTCCAAATTACACCAAAGCTCATTCTACAGGGAGACTTAAAGTGAATGTGTCCCATCTCCCAGCCCGAGCGCCTTGGAAGACGATGAGGATGAAGATGAGGGTCACACTGTGGTCGCAACAGCTCGCGGTATCTTCAACAGTAACGGCGGTGTCCTGAGCTCCATTGAGACAGGCGTCAGCATAATTATCCCGCAGGGCGCCATTCCCGACGGAGTTGAGCAGGAGATCTACTTCAAGGTCTGCAGAGACAACAGCATCCTGCCACCGCTGGACAAGGAGAAAGGTAACTGATCACAGTAACATGGAGGAAGTGGAGATGATTCCCTTTAATGTTTCAGGCGTTGGGCTTTATTCTGCCACAAGGACACGACATGCAACGGTAATCTAGTCAGAAAATGTCAACACTGCCAAAAAAAAAACTGCATATGATTTTCAGCAAGCAACATTTAATTAGCTGTACTACATGTATGTTAGCTTTATGCTAACCATTAACAAACCCTTATAAGCATTTTGTTTTTATAAGGATTTGTTTATCACCTTTACCTTCTCTATATTTGTTGTTTTTCATTAATTATTTAAGCGTTCTTTAAAAAAAAAAGGTTAAAAAAGTAAAATATTGAATGTTGTTTGCTCCATGGTTTATTTTATGATCAGCTGGACATCACCACAGCTGCAGCTAAAGTGCGATGCTAAATAAATCCAGATGCTGGTTGTAGTGTCGGATCATTCCTATTAGAAAAGAAAATGATGTAATTTAATCTGCATATCAAAGTGAAAGCAAATGGAACACCTGCATGAAAAGTGTCCAGAATATATTCTCTCATCCTTTGCAAGTCCTAAGGTTTAACTGCATAACAACATTATGTGCTCTGAGTTTGTAGCAGAGCTCTGAACTATGCATGATTTGTATTTCCATGGAGCATATGCATGCCATCTGTTGTGGAGTCAGACAAAATCCCGTAACATCCTGTCATTATCGTACTGCTTATTCTGATCTAATAAAAGAGAAAGTTAAAGTAATGCAGATTTGCTTTGTTTTCACATATAAGATGTTACTCCCATTAAAACCCTTATAGATTTCAAATGAAAAATAATTTTTGCTAGAATGTATGTAACTGAGTGTTTAACTAGGCTGTGTGTTTGTGTTTACAGGAGAGACTTTGCTCAGCCCGCTGGTGATGTGTGGACCTCATGGCCTCAAGTTCTTGAAGCCTGTGGAGCTGCGCTTACCTCACTGTGCGTCAATGACCCCTGATGGTTGGTCTTTTGCTCTAAAATCCTCCGACTCCTCGTCGGGTACGCTTTGCTTTCTCTGCTCTTCTGGGGACGTTTGGGCTGGCTGTGTGACAAATTCAGCAGGTTTTTTTTGCAGTCACTTGTTTAATCTGAACTTTTCCCTTGTCTTGGTTCTTAATCAGAAATCAAATATTTAAGAATTTAAACTTTATGATCAAGAAGAATCAACCTAAGGGAAAAGAAATCTACCTTTTTCACAAATTATTGCTTTGGGTTTATTTCATGTCATTATTTATGCTGGGCAACTCACCCACACAGTTTCATTTGCTGTATCACTGGTTTCCATCACATGCTTTATTACTTTGAAGGACTACTGCAGTACCTCCCTCCTGTTTTTTTCCCCAACTTTATAACTATATCTCATTTCACTTTACTTGCATGCACTGCATGCTTTGCTGCACGATACTGAGTTTCATCAGACAGAGCTTTAGTGCATGCTTCTCTGCTCAGTGGGATTTTTCTCACATAGTCACCCAAATCCTGACCTGAAGAACAAACGACTCTGTATTTGCTACAGATCTGCTGGAATCTGGGACACCATCATAACCAATAAGACCTGTCATTCCCAATAAATTCAGAGTTACACAAAGACACCTCGCTTTCATGCTGAAGGTGCATGTATCTATATTTAGAGCTCATATCTACCAAAGAGTTATTTTCGACTCTGACTTTTAGAGAGCGGTAAACATACTTTTATAGTCATTTTTTTTTGTTATCTCTTCAGTGTAAATAAGGAAATCTCAGACAAGCGAACCAAATTCATCTCTTTTTAACTGCAAGAGAAGTTTTTGCATTCAAAACTAGTTTATAGCTCCAATATGACAGCAGGTGATTGAAATTAAGTTTACTTGACACTTTGGGAAAATCATTAATTAAATATTACCCCTTCAGGAAAAAGTAGAGCCATTCCAGGGGGTTTGGTGAAAGAAAAAAAAAACATGTTTTATTAATTTTATTCACTGTCATGATCAAGACCAAAACAATGCAATGCTGTTTTCAAGACCATTCCAGTAATCATGATATGACTTACTGGTTTCACTATGGCACTATGGCTGCAGCATTCAACTTTATACCTAGCCCTCAACTACATTCCACTACTGCACTAAGTCTGTTGGTTTAATCGAGTTATATTGATGCGCTGAATTAAATGCAGTGGATAAAGGCGACCAGTCAAAGCGGAGGTCTTAACTCGCATGTCATTGCCTGTTGTACAGACAAAAATATATCTATACATTTGCACTGGAAAATGTTGCTCCCTGTTTTCTCTTTCCTCACCTCTATCTGTCAGCTGCATGAAGGGAGCAACTTGAAAATTCAAAGAAAAAACCTTATTGTTTGCATTTGATTCAGACAGTAGTTTTAATATAATTTAAAACAAAGAAACATCCAAGATGAGACCAAGGGTCCAACAATGAGAGAGCGCAACACTAGTTTAAGGCCAGCTAGAGGCTCATCAGGATTTCCACATGATATTAAATGTATTTCTTTATTATTATTTTTAACCTATAAGTATTTTATTCATTTTTCGCCTTTATGTAGACATTGCATCAGTTTGTTTCTAACAACATTACTCCCTGGACTGAGTTTACATGGTTATCTGCAAACTAGAACTAGTTCTTCAGACAAAATGCATATATTCGTTACTTATGATTTCAAAGTGACTGTTACACATGGTTATTTTTATGGTATTCGACCCCTGTCCTCTTCCTGGTTTGGTTCATATTTGTCTACAGTTGCAGGCTGCAGTATCAAACCCTGGGGCCTCTACCTCACAGTTTTTTAATAAAAACTTTTTAATAAGCTAGCAGTAGCAATGTTGAATAATTCTTTAGTTTGACATTCCTCCACCTAAAGCACACTAAACATTTGTTTCTCTTATTTTAAACTTACACTGCACAGAACACCCCTGAAAATGCACGGATCATTGCATTGCTTTGCCCTAAACAACGGTAAAGGTGTATTAATTTCACTATCAAACATACAATAGGATAAAAAAATAAAAAGAGTTGTCAATCTAATAAAAAAAAAGTAATAATAGAAGTCCTAGTAAATCTACATAAGGTGATTCTGTCTTGTGTTTGACTTCATGTTCATCTGTGTTTTCTTTAAAACAAAATGTCATCTGAAGCCTGTGGGAAATAACTGAACTTCTATCAGCTCTTAAGTTAGAACAGAGCAGGTTTAAAATCACTGTTTCATCCTTTTTCTCCTAATATTGTCCTTCCCCTTAACTGACTTCAAAAACAGCGGCGATTTATACAGCGGTCAGGATTAACTGTTAATTAGCCTCATTAAGGGCTCGGGAAGAAATGTCCGTTTACTTTGTCGTCCTGCAGAATCAGGGGGAGGATTATTGGGCCTGCATCATAATCCCCTTATTGTGAAGCTAGGCCACTCTTGGGCCTCCTTCTGGGGTTTTCTTCTCACTTTGCTTTCTCCTTTTACTCTGCTATTCAAGGCTAACAGCCTCCCTTTCCTTTCTACTTCTTCTCCCCACAGTGCTCTCTCTTTGGTTTCTTAATACTTGAGTCTGAACCAGTGTGATACAGTTAAGCTCGGTAAATGCCTCGTTTGGGTTTAAGAGACCGTGAATTGATAAAAACATTCACATCGTGCAGTGTCTCTTTTTAAGCTCTCACCATGTCAGTTCACTTTATGCATCTAAAGATCAGAAGTTTCTGTGTAAAATTTTTATGGGTGACCTCTACATTGATCATTATCCCACTAAGTATTGTTTAACATATTTGTTTTTCTTGGAGAATAATCTAGGTCTTTAGTTGTTTAACTTTGTGAACAACTTCCAATGATGTTCAGCTGTCCTTGTCTGATCATTACAACTAGCAAACATTTTTACTGTCAACGTAGCTTTAAAGTGCTTAAATGGGTTAAAAATGTTAAACGGCTTCCAAAGATGCTGATTTTTGTTTGTTAAAAAGTAATGCCAGTCATCCACTGTAGTCCAGCAGCTCCAGCTGCAAACTGGGAATTTCCTGGCCAGAAAATTTGAGAACACAGAAATGTGTTAGCAGCATCCTCATTTTTGACAGTTCAGGATCCTTAAACATCCTTTGACTTCTTTCGGTCTCTCATTTGGATGATTTCTCTCTCTACCACTAGAGGGAGCTCACGTAACACAAACTTGGTGAGAAAAGTGACCAATTTCACCCAATGTCAAGAAAATCTGCAACTATTTAGAATATTTGATTATTTCTGATTTAGAAGAAAATAAAGTCACAACACATATGGTAAACTTTACATAAAAGGGTATACAAAAACACAAGCAAGTGCTTTGATTTATGTGAGTTGATAAAAATAAAATAAAAACTAGTGGAAAGCTCTATTCCAAACATTCAGAGAAAAAGGATGCAATTCACCTAAAACTAATGGACTGATCTAATTTATTTTTTTTTGTTTATAAAAACTTCTTAAATGTTATAGCGAAGGTACTGCAGGCTTATGAGTCAGAACCAACCCAGCCATGAAGATTAAGGGGAAAAGGCAAAACCTTTGACACTAAGAACGCTTATTAACATTAGAGGGCTGGTAAAATACTTGCATAGAAGTAGGAGCTGAATTGAAATGCTAGGTGTGGTTTTATGAGATGGGGAAGATCAACTATAGAGTAAAGCAATGCTAGGCTGTTCATTATACCAACAGACCTTTGCTGAGCTGTTTCTGCATCCCCCTCATCGATTACTGGGGGGTTCTCTTTAGCACAGCCCTCCGTGTTTATAGCTGCACATGTGCTTAGACCTCACAGTGACTGGGCTTTAATCTGCAGTCAACAAGAGGCTGGAGACATTCAATAAAAAAATACTGTACAGCTTTTACTGGGCTCTTGTGGTGCTGCACTTGGACACAGGCCACAAACAGCCACAGTAATGTGCCTTACAAAGCAAATGATGGCATTTTGTTTTCATTGTTGATAATGTCATTTTAATCAAGAGTTGTTTGTTTATATATATATATATATATATAGGGATGGGAATCGAAAACCGGTTCCTGTTCAGAACCGGTTCCGTATTTTTCGATTCCATGGCATCGTTTGGCAGCTCGCTGAATGATTCTTTTTTCGATTCCCGCAGCACCAGAGCCGAGAGCGCCGGCTCTGGGGAGCACGACTTACGTCACGTTTTTTACGTAAGTTACGCAACTTACGCAAGTTACGCAAGTTACGCAAGTTGGAAGAACTATTCGAGGAGGAAGCTCAACGAGCTGCGGTCACTTTGTGAATCAAAGCCCCGTCTTTCCTTAGCCCAGAGGGTAGATCAGGAAATCCAGCTCTATAAAAGCTTGCCCTCCATCCCCTGCAGGGATAGCGCCACACTGTGGTGGTGGAACAAGCAAGATACGCTGCCCTTGCTATCTGGACTGGCTGAAAACTACCTCTGTGTGCAGGCTTCCTCCACCCCATCTGAGAGGGTGTTCTCCACGGCTGGAGACACCATAAGCGCTGAAAGATCCCGTATCCTTCCAGAAAAAGCAGATATGCTCATCTTTCTGCAAAAGAACTGTTAATTTTCCCTACTACTGTTTTATAATTAGTATTTTTTGTTATTTAAAATAGGTTATTATCCCATCATTTGTTATTAGACATTGTTGGTTATTAAGTTTGTTCTTGTATTCATTTTTCATTTAAACACAGATGTTACTCCAGTTTCACATTTCCTGTGGACATCTTGATCTTTTTGAGTTTGTAAGATTGTGCAATAGTTAAGTAAACAAAGTTGATTCTGATAATCAAACTGTTTGTTCTCCTTTTTCCCCCAAATTGGAATCGAAAAAAGAATCGATTAAGAATCGAATCGTTTCATAGAATCGAAAAGGGAATCGGAATCGTGAAAATCTTTTCAATTCCCAACCCTATATATATATATATATATATATATAAAATCGGACTCTATTCGTGTCGGAGATCCACTCATTCACCATCTACTGTATTAAGCACTCACCGACACATCCCATTTATTTTCCATACAGGTGACCCGAAAAGCTGGCAGAACAAGTCGATCCCCGGAGACCCTAACTACCTTGTGGGAGCCAACTGTGTGTCAGTGCTGATTGACCACTTTTAAGGAGGGACGAATGGACCAGGAGGCACAGCACTGCTGAATGTGGGAGAAATGAAGGCGATGGACTCATATTGAAACACACACACACTCTGCACATGCACTACAGCTGCAGTCCGGCCGTACAAATGCAGCACAAAGTGGAGTATGAAGGAGAGCCGGTCAATGCTGTTTACTGCACCCAGATGTTGGCGAGACAAGAAAAACAAACCTGTGCTCCTTTTTGATGGAAGTTTGGATGTGAAGTAAATGATGCCTGCCCCACATCTCTAAAAATATATATATTTATATATATATTTATATATATATATATATATATATATATATATATATATATATATATATATATATATATATATATATATATATAGGTAATGGATGGCTTTCGATGCAGCATTCATGCTTGAGAAAATTGTCTGTTTATGTGATATGAATTTAGAGGTATCCAAATGAGATGCTAAAATGGCAGAAGTTTGTTTCAAAGTTTTTTTTTGTAAGTCAGCGGACAGAATATGAAGAATCATGGACATGTTGAGGTAGCTTTATAGAAGGTTTCAGACATGTAGGGATATTTGCAGGCATCCCCTGAAGGAAACTGCATTAAAACCGAAGCAGCAAACTTTAAAGACACCTTTACTCCTTTCTTTGTTCTTCCTTCTCTGGTATCCTGTAGCTTCCTGCCTTCCTCCCCATATCATCTTCTCCTTCCAGCCTGAGGGAGATCTATGCATGTTCTTTACTCAGGTTCTATATTCTTCCTCAGTTCCTTCCTGACATCTTTCCTCTTCCTGCCTGGTTATTCTTGCACTCACACAACAAATAAGCAGTGATGCCTTATCTGCAAATTATTCACTTTTCGTAAAGAAAAAAAAAAGCATAACTTATAATAAATTATGGTATAATGTCAGTTGTTTTTGCCATTTTTTTGTGGACCCACTGTATAAATAAACTTGGGTTTAGCACACGATAACAGTTGGCAAAATATAACAAAGGTAAGCTCTTCTTTTATCTGCTATGCATCGCTGAATATACAGATAAGAAGTGCTGTAAATAAAGCTAGCATATTGCCTTCTTTCTTTCTTTTGTAAATGAACTTTTTGTATGTCTTTCTTTTTTTTTGTATAAAACGTAGAGAAAACATTAAAAAGCAGAAGAAAGTGAACAAGTTTTCTTTGTATTCTGGAAATACCCTCAAGCCTTTGAACTGTAACCGACAATAATACATTGAACCGTTTTCTACCAAGTTATTGACATGATGTGGATACAAAGTACTTTTTACTTATTTGAGGCCCTCATAAGTACTTGAACTAAAAGACATTAAAACGTGCTCTGACGGTGTCCCCCTCACTTATTTGTGATACTGGATACTATATTGTGTGCCCTTAAATGTATTTTTGTACTAATAGACAATATAATATGTACGGCACACCAATACAGTTTTATTTTTAGTATAACACAGCTTTAATTGAATATTAGCTCTTCACGTGTGGCTGACTTTTTTTTCCCTCTTCGACACTTTTACCACTGTATTAATAAATAAAATCATTTTTAAAATAAAGACTGGAAAGTGTTTTATATACCTCTGTCGATCTTTCTAAAGTTTTTTTTTTTATCTTCATGTTTTGCTTGTTTGTTGATTTGAACCTACGGTTTCCTTTCATTACACAAGTTTAATAATGCTGTCTACACTGCACTCTCATTCCTGTCATTTTATCTTATTTCACCTAACTTAATTACATTATTGATTAAAAACAAAATGACTTAGGTAAGATTAGTTGTTGGGAATAAATGGTTCTGTTTTACTTCCTAATTTATTTTAACATTTCAGCAGACATTTGCTCTTCAGTTATTGTCTTCAGCTGACTGTTTTGCTCTATTAAAATTACAGATTTTTTTTGTTTTTATAATTTTTCTTGAGTTCCCATCTTTTTTCTGCTTCAAGTCAACTGTTCTAGACCACTCTTTTAGATCTTTTCTCCCTTTTATACGTCTTCTTCAGCTAATTGTTGCTCATTTTTCAGTTTTTCAATTTCTTGAGTGTCTTCTGGCACCTTTATTCAGCAACTATGCATTTGCACAGCTGTTTCTCTGCAAGAGTTACCTTTATTTTCTTTAAATAAACCCCAATTAAATAATTCAAATAATATAGGTCACTAGTTAAATATAATTTGCTGCCAAATGAAGCCCTCTCCTCAATGCTCACCTTTAAATCAAATATACCCAATTTCTTGAAGTTCTGCCACTGTCGTTTTCAGCTCTGCAATACCTCAGTCTAACGCTAGTTGTCGCAGGAGAGTTACAAGCTTCCAGCACAAAGTCAGACCTACAGGTGCTGGTCATAAAATTAGAATATCATGAAAAAGTAGATTGATTTCAGTAATTCCATTTAAAAAGTGAAACTTGTATATTATATTCATACATTACATACAAACTCATATATTTCAGATGTTTATTTTGTTTAATTTTGATGATTACAAATGACAACAAATGAAAATCTCAAATTCATCATATCAGAAAATTAGAATATTGTGAAAAGGTTCAAAATTGATGGCCCCTGGTGCCACACTCTAATCAGCTAATTAACTCAAACCACCTGCAAAAGCCTTTAAATGGTCTTTCAGTCTAGTTCTATAGGCTACACAATCATGGGGAAGACTGCTGACTTGACAGTTGTCCAAAAGACGACCATCGACACCTTGCACAAGGAGGGCAAGACACAAAAGGTCATCGCTAAAGAGGCTGGCTGTTCACAGAGCTCAGTGTCCAAGCACATTAATAGAGAGGCGAAGGGAAGGAAAAGATGTGGTCGAAAAAAGTGTACAAGCAAGAGAGATAACCGCACCCTGGAGAGGATTGTGAAACAAAACCCATTCAAAAATGTGGGGGAGATTCACAAAGAGTGGACTGCAGCTGGAGTGAGTGCTTCAAGAACCACCACACACAGACGTATGAAAGACATGGGTTTCTGCTGTCGCATTCCTTGTGTCAAGCCACTCTTGAACCACAGACAGCGTCAGAAGCGTCTTGCCTGGGCTAAAGAGAAACAGGACTGGACTGCTGGTGAGTGGTCCAAAGTCATGTTCTCTGATGAAAGTAAATTTTGCATTTCCTTTGGAAATCAAGGTCCCAGAGTCTGGAGGAAAAGAAGAGAGGCACTTCATCCACGTTGCTTGAAGTCCAGTGTAAAGTTTCCACAGTCAGTGATGGTTTGGGGTGCCATGTCATCTGCTGGTGTTGGTCCATTGTGTTTTCTGAGGTCCAGGGTCAACGCAGCCACATACCAGGAAGTTTTAGAGCACTTCATGCTTCCTGCAGCTGACCAACTTTTTGGAGATGCAGATTTCATTTTCCAACAGGACTTGGCACCTGCACACAGTGCCAAAGCTACCAGTACCTGGTTGAAGGACCATGGTATCCCTGTTCTTAATTGGCCAGCAAACTCTCCTGACCTTAACCCCATAGAAAATCTATGGGGTATTGTGAAGAAGAAGATGCAATACACCAGACCCAACAATTCAGAAGAGCTAAAAGCCACTATTAGAGCAACCTGGGCTATCATAACACCTGAGCAGTGCCACAGACTGATCGACTCCATGCCACGCCGCATTGCTGCAGTAATACAGGCCAAAGGAGGCCCAACTAAATACTGAGTGCTGTACATGCTCATACTTTTCATGTTCATACTTTTCAGTTGGCCAACATTTCTATAAATCCTTTGTTTTTATTGGTCTTCAGTAATATTCTAATTTTCTGATATGATGAATTTGAGATTTTCATTTGTTGTCATTTGTAATCATCAAAATTAAACAAAATAAACATCTGAAATATATGAGTTTGTATGTAACGTATGAATATAATATACAAGTTTCACTTTTTAAATGGAATTACTGAAATCAATCTACTTTTTCATGATATTCTAATTTTATGACCAGCACCTGTAATGTTATGCTTCAGTAAACGGTGGCAGATGACAATAAACTACAAGATTAAATCTGCAAAAAAAAAAAAAAAAGAAAGATGATGCATTTATCATCACTCAGTCTGAATGACAATGTAAAGTTCAGTTATTTCAGAAGTTTAAAACAAATCAGACAGGGATACATGTCAGGTTTATTCCTATAAAATTAGATGATTTGGACTTAGGCTAATGAAAAGACAGATTTCTATTGCTCATTCATTAATAAAGCACTTTAAAGCTAAAAATGCACTATTTGTATAAGAACTAAGAAAAAGATAAAATAAAAAACCTACATTGCGAGGTCGACTATATAAATAAAAAAAGCAAAATTAAAGAAACAAAGGAAGGTCCAATAGTCACACTCTGCGGAACTCAGAATATTAGAATGAAAAACATTTCTTAAATCGACATGTTCTGTTTTGGCCCAAGGAAGCAACGAATAAAAGTAGCAGACATAATTGCCAACATCCAAGTTGAGGATAAGCTACAATGGCTCATTGCAAAGGCACCTGAGGAAAGTTAAGTGGAAGGAAAAGGATGGCAGACAATAGTGCACAAGCAACAAGGATAAATCATAGTCTTTAGAGGACTCTGGTGAAATTTGCATTTGAGAAAAGAGGTGGAAAAAAACATTCACATTAGGTACTATCCATCCATCCATATTCTCCCGTTTAGTCCTTTTCAGGGTCATGGTGGGGCTGTTTCCTGTCTACGGCAGTTTATGGAATAGAGGCAGGGTACCGCCTTGGACACGTCGCCATTCTGTCACAGGGCAACACAGAGCTACACAACCATGCACACCTGAGGACAAATTAGAGAAGCTTATTAACAACAGTCATGCTGTTAATAAGAGTACCCAGAGAAAACCCACGCATGCACAGGGAAAACATGCAAACTCCATTTAGAAAGACCCCGGGCTGGCAACAGCGCTACCCACTGCCCCCATGTGCAGCCTCCAAAATGTTTCAACCTTGATTTTCATACTTTTTCTCAAAATTGTTAAACTATTCTCCTTATATGGGTATTTCCATTTTCGTTCCTCCCACTGAAAATCTATGAAATTCCAACCATGACTCAGTCCTACTGTTGGTACCACAACGTCTGAGACAGTGTTTTTGTTCAGGACTTTTTAATCCTTTGATCGATATTCAGATGCACCATAGAAGTGGCATTGCTGACACTCATCTTGTCTATCCATATTTTATCTTTTATCCTCCTCAAACCCTTATCAATCAATTTACCCTGAAAAATCTTAAGTGATGAGGAACCTTTGCTTGATCTCCTGACGACCTGCCCATGATCACTTTAAACAAGAACTTGGGAGCTAATCACACACCCAAACACTGTCTCTCTGTTAAATTCAACACAGTAACACCAGAAGCATAACAAAAAGTTGTAATATTTTCTATTAAGAAGTGTTGCTTTTTTTCCAATAAAACCCAAGACTTGGGTATGTAAAGAAACCAATTTGTACATATTCATTGATGAAAGGGGTCAAAGCAGCACAGTTCCTCTTATGACGACCTTGGCTTACTATAGAAAAAAAAAATAACCAGACTCTCTTTTCCTCTTTAAGACTGCTTGAGCAAATCTTGTGTTGTGTTTCTTGCCATGAAACTACTGATTGTCACCTCTCTTAAATCTATTACTTCAGCAAGGCTTCCAATTTTCATGGTGTAGTTAACGAGCTAGAAATAGGTAAAACTTTCTTAAATTACATGTATTTAATTTGAATAGGTAAATAATATGTTGCCAATGGAATTGGTTCATTTAACCCTAAAGGATTAGGGAATAAGTGTAAATTCTGTTGTTCCAGTAGCAAAGTGTCTCACTTACCTCCTCAATTCAAGAAACAATTCCCTTATTTGGATTTCTATTTTCTGCAGTGCAAGATTATCTCTGTGTAACTAACCCAAATATCTCTCAATATGGGACCAGTCTATGTAAAGAAAATAGGCATCAAGTGTGGAGATATCGATTATATAGCATTGATGTGAGGCAGCTCTGGATTAAAAATCTTGGCGGGGGTGGCGGCCTGGTAGTTAGGGCATTGTGCTTGGAATCTTGAGGTTCTGAGTTAAAGCTCCACTCTCAAACTAATGACCTCAGAAACTTGGACCCAATATTCAGACAGACAGTTCAGGACAGTTTATAACAAGCTGTATTTTGAAACAAATAACTCAGCGAGCAGATGATAGTCAGCGGGGTGGATAACTAGATTCACTGCAGAGGTAGAAAACACAGGTCAGTGACTAGGATATCGGGCTAATAATGACAAGGAGCAAACGTCACTGACGTGGTTCAAAGTCGAGTCCGATCCCAGACAAAAGGGAGATTGTTAGCAGCCGTTTCCAGCACCTCAAATGATGATGAGCTGAAGATAACTGACCCAGAGCGAGCAACAATCCTTAAGGAGAATCCAAGCCGAGGTCAGAGAAACAGTCCAGGTTCGGTTACCGGCAGGATCCAGGAAAACTGCAAAAAACACAGCAGACAGGGCAAGGCAAAAAGCTTCAAATTTAAAAACAGGTCAGAATCAAGATAACAGACAGACTTACTTGAAGGCTGGAGTTACTCTCACAACAGCTTGAATAATCTGGCACTGGTGGCTGCAAACAAGCAGCATAGGCTATATGGGAGCTGGAAACAGGTAGATAAGATGAGTGCTAATGAGAAACTGGGCAGAGTTGAACAGGTGAATGGAATGAGCAATCAAGCCAGCCTCCAGCGCCAGGATCATGACACTGCCACTCTCTGAGCAAAGACCCTTAACTGCTCCCAGGGGGCCACACAATGGCAGCCCACTGATCCACAAGGGGATGGGTTAAATGCCGAGAGTTCATTTCTTTGCTCTGTACTTGTAACAGTGTAAAGAAAATAAACCTAGACATGCTTTAAAGCCTTAATTCATGTTTAAAATACCCATTAGGGACTCGAAAATCGCAGAACCCTTTTGGAGATATAGACAGAGGAAAAATAGAGGAGACTGAGATGATTCGGATGATTTTTGTCTTAAATTTTTATCATTCTAATTTCATTTATTTTTGCATTACCATGCATCTCCTGCGAAATTAGTTTTTTTCCCTATCATTATTTGTATCCCCCAGCCCCTCCCACTCTCTCCCCTCTCTGTCGTAGTAAAGCAGTCCACGCAGCTCAGCGCAGCGCAGCGCGCAGCCATGCAGACGCGCACCGTGGCTGCTCTCCAACACGCAGAGCGCCTCCTGTCCTGCTGCTGCTGCTGCTGTCGCCTTTGAACACCGCGTTTCCTTTAGATCTGCACCTTTACCTAGCTACAAAAAAAGCAGAAAGCTTGTTTTCTTTCAGTATTTTTTTCAAAATCTCTCTCATAGTTTCTGGTGATAATTTATTTCTGGTCTCCATCTCCTGCTTTTTAAGTTAAAATGAGCGTGACAATGGTGCATGGCTGGGTGACAGCAGCAAAATCGGTTTTGGATTTTTCATCTTGACTTTTGATGGAATGGGTTTATTTTTTTGCCAGAGAGGACCTCAGTTGTTCCTTTTTTTCAATATGCTCGACCTAAATAAATATCCGCAGATACTGTCTGTGTGATGCCTCATCCAGTCCACCTTTTTTCCTCCTTTCAGGCATCTTTAATTGATGGAGATCATCCTCGGTGAGCTCTGACCACGCCGTCCTCCCGCTCAACATCACCGCTCTTATTGGATGCTTTTTTTATTCATTATTCTTCCTGCCATCTAAGCTGGTTCAAGGACTCCCCTCTACTATATTTATATATTTTTGTTGTGGAGACAATGCCGGTGAACGCGCTGCCCCGAGGCGGCAGCAGCGGCCCCGGATCCCTGAGTCCCGCGTCGTTGTCCCGCAGTCTGTCCCGCCTGAGGGAGTACCGCACGCGGACCAGGATCATGCTGGCTCTGGGAGTCTCTCAGATGGTCCTGGGGAGTCTCATCCTGGCGGTCAGCTTCGCGGCTCTGGCTCTAACTACGTCGCCCAGAGTGAGGCACTCATGTCCCTTCTGGGCAGGTTTTTCTGTAAGTAAATAACAAAAGAAAAAACGCAGATAAAGGGAAATATCTACTTTTGTTGATAAAACAGTAACAATAACACAGGAAACTGTTGTGTTTTAATCCTATAATAATAACAGCTTGTCTCATTCTCAAAAATTTTTAATGATTTATGTTAAGATTCAGCATGATGGAAAAGACAGCAGTGAGGTTTAAGAACATATTAACAGTTTGCAAATCTAAGATGTGCTGTTTCTTATATATTTATGACTAACACGTTCTTGATTTCCTGCCAGAGTGTTGCATGGAGCTGTGCTGCTCCATTAAATATAGAGGCAGTAGGGCATGAGTGCAAGGGTGAGGGGAGGTCTGTGCCATCAGGACCATCTGTGTGTGTGTGTGTTTTGAGAATTGCCTCTTTGTCTCAGTGCCTGTATGTGTGGCTGAGTATAGTTACAGGGGAGCAGTGTGTAATCACAGGGGTCAGGGTTCAGAGGTCAGTGAACATTCTCCATCAGGGCTGGAGTGGGATTGGCTGAGCTCCCGTGCAGAGAGTGTTTATCTCCAGGCACTGAAACTTGATGCTGTCTTGAATTTACTAAAATACCATTATGTTTGATTTTCTAAAGCATTATGATTTTCTTGCAATTTTAGTTGATCAATAGAGGTTTTTGTTTTTAAGCTGTTTTTTATATGTTCAGACCTTCAATCTGGTTAAGACAGCACACTGTGTTATACTTAGAAAGTGATGAAAGCTAAAAACCATCATGAGACCTTTTCAGTGAGGGGAAGTTTGTTTGAGAAAACTGTCATTACAAGCGTATAAGCTTATTAGCAGCAACAGTTACAGGATAAGGTGTTTCTGTGACCACCTCCTCATCTGCTATCTAGAGGAGAGACATTTTCCCTCCTTTTTACACATTAAGAGCATAACCCCCTGAGATCCTTACAACCTTCAAAATATTTTATTATCTTTTATTTTACACTTTATCTTTTATTTTACGTTTAAGGGGATGGTTAAAATGTAGAGAGTTAATTTTGTTGATTTGTATTTGTGACAGTATAATGACAATAAAGTTCAATTCTGTTTTATTCTATTCAAACATTGGATTTCTGTTGTTTATTATGTTTTTCTGCTGAAGAGGGAAGAAAAACATAGAAACTGTAGAGCTCTGTTAGATCATCTCACTAGAATAAGGTTCATATTGATGTAATAGGCTATATTGCACAGTAATCTTAAATTTTTCTTTTTTTTTTTTGGGGGGGGGGGGTTATTGCTTTATTTCCCTTTATAGTGCGAGTAAAATTCCTGCGAGACTATCCTGGATCATCCATTAGAGTGATCAAAGGTGGTTGGGTATTTTTCTTTCAGCAGAACTGTATGATGCAGCACAGTGACAAATCTTAGCTGGTTGTCCTAATGCGGTTTGGGGTTTCACCCCCCACATTAACAAATGCTTAACTTATGCAGACACATGTTTGTGTGCGTGCATGTGTGCGTGCCATCGCTGTGGGACGTCATTAAGGATCTCAGTGTGATGACTGGTGTTGTGGGATTTCATCACAGTCGCAGCGAGGAAAAGCATAATCTTTACTTCCTATACAGAGCAGTGACTGCTGAGCTCAGCGTGGCTGTCCCTCCTCCTCCATCAAACAGACGCACACTCGCACACATTCAAACTGTCAAACATGTTGGACGGCATAATATGACTCAGTATTCCTAAGAATATTGGGCTAAACCAGGCAAATCCTACCGATATCTTCCTCTTTCTCTTATCCGCCCTTCACCGCAAACATTTAGGTTTGACTCACTCATCAGTTTGGCCTGTTGTTGGTTTGGGATTCGGATGAAAAAAAAAGATGAGGTTTGGTTTTAACAATGGATGGTGCTAAAAGCCGCAGGCTGCGTAGGGCTGGATCCGCTGCAGCTTTTACCTGTTGGCTGCAAGTCTAGCTGCGTTGCCAGGTTTGGCTCAGTGTTTGATGCCAGTGTGACAGAGCGAGCCAAAAGGCCTCTGCAGCTGTCAACAGCTGAAATGCACTTTAAATTGCTATTAATCTCACAATGAATAAGACTTGAATATTCACATGCAAACTGCTTCTCTGTATGCCTGTTTTAAGAAGTGGCTATTGCTGATATCTTTTACAGTATGGGCTTAATATCTCTCTCCCTCTCTTCAATGATGTTACACACAATATGCTCTCTTGGCTCAAACAAGATTTCCTTCTTTTTATTTTTTTCTCCTAATCTGTCCTGGTTGTGTGAAAAATGCAATTGTTGATATTATTTTGTGTGTCTGAATACTCATATCTACACATTGGGCTTGAACACAAGCAGCTTTAGACAATCTTGCTGATATGACTTCTGAGGGAGCTTTTCTCTGCTGCTTTTTCAGCATCAAGCATCAGCAAATTCTGCAGTAATCTGCCTGTGTACCCAAACCTCTGTGTTTGTTATAAAAAGTGGTCTGCAGGGACTTATTGTGCTATAGTCAAAGACATATTGTGGAGTGAATTTGGTAGCATGAAAGCCATTTGATGACTGGTTGTCTAGGCGATCTGTTAGTCAACAGCTGCTTTGTTTGATAGTGATTGGATGGAAAGTAAATCCTGCTTTGTGTTATCTCAAGGTAGGAAAGCCTTGTCTTTAGTAATATTGAATACTTGAATGAATGGTCCCTTTTAGTGGAGCAAACAACCATTGAGATTGAGAAAAAAAAAAGATCAAATGTTTCAAAGATGCTCCAGCAAGTGGGGAGTTTTTCTATTTTTTTTTACTTTTGAAAGAGACATATTTTCTATAAAAACATAAAAGATACAGGCTTGCAGACAGCTTCTATAAATCATTTTTGGAAGAAAAAAAAAAGGGTCACATGTTCAAAAGTTCAGTTGTGAGATTCGCCTGCTGCTAAATATTGAGGACTTAATGTCAGGGTTCTGTGACTTTGTTGTTGTTTTTTCAGTTTGATATTTCTTTAGTTACTCTCTGTTGCCCCCTTTTGCCAGTTTTCCTTTCCCGTTGGCTCCCTTCTGGTTAGTTCTATCCATACCTAACACACTTACACTCATTTACCCATCCTTTGTTCTGTTTCCCATATATACACCACCTCCTTAGTTCCTGTTTGCTGGTTTCTTGTTGTTTTGTTGCTTCCTTGTCTCTTGCTCCCAACATTTTTTCCCTGACATTTATTGAATTTTGTTTGGTTTTAGGTATTTTTGCATTTTTCTAAATGTTTTCCTCAGTTGACTGTTAGTCATTAATTAAATCAGCAAAACTCACCTCTGCCTACTCTTCTCTGCATTTGGGTCATCAAAGCCTCCACCCAACCCGACACTTAAGTGTTGCAGTGTTATAACAAGTGAAAGCAATTAAGAAGAAACACTGTATTTACGTAAACATCTGGATAAAAGAGCCACAAATCTAGAGAGATAGCCAAAAAAGACACATTCTAAACCTGGTGAGGAATCCTCATAGAAGAGCTGACGCTGTTACATCTGCAAAAAGTGGGTCAGCATTGTCTAAGATTGTATAATCCAAGAATGGGATGTCCCTTACACCTATATGTGAGAGAAGACAGATGAATAAAAAAGTTTGGCAATGTTATATTTTTGTGAGGTGTTTCTAGATTTCTGCTGGTACCAAATACGCTTTTTCTAATCTGACTTAATTAATAATCATGTTGAAATGACAGTTTGCTGTTAGGCGTGGAGTAAGGTCTGAAATAATTTCTAGAGAAAACATTCAACTTTGAGGAATAAAAACATTTTATTATTTTCCTTATTCCTTTATTCAATCCAGCGACTGAAAGATCACTAAGTTGGCAACTAGTTAGCAATCTGCTTCTGAGAAACCAGCTACAGTCAAATAGCTTGCGAACCTTCCACCATTACAATCCTGCCCCCTTGATAATCAACCAATCACATTAATTTTATTCACTCGTGTAAAGTCGTGCACCACTTGGGAAAATTCGGATATGCAACGGTTGGAACAGTCGTTTCCCTGCGACTTTTAAGAAGTAATGGAATAAGTTTAGGGAACAGCTTTCTTCCTCGATAGGACACTACCTGCTGTGGTTTGAAATATGTGATTTTAAAATCTGTTGAATTGATGAAAAAAGGGTTTGCTGAGTAGAAAAATGCCTTAGAGACATTGAGAACATTTGCAAGATTAAATGCTAATTTAAAGATAAAAATTGGGGCTGCTGTTTCGAAAAAGACTTAGAAACTGATCTGTTGAGAATCCAAATAAGGAGCATTAAACTGCTTGTATATTAAGTGGGCTTTTTGCAGGTGATTTTCAAAGATGGAGTGCAAAACTAATAAGACGTGCAACCAGTTTGGTTCCATACCATTAGCCACTTGTGCTGGCCTGTGCAGACATCTTTCTCGCTGCTGATATCATTCTGGTATTGGTATTTCTAAAAGTCTAACATTTTTAGATGCACACAGACTCCCTCTCCATCCTCCGTCATTGTACTAATGCCTCGTTTGTGGCCACAATGACCACAGACATCTTTGTCTGCAGGTTTGCATCTGAATTTCAAATGTGCCGAAACTGAAAACAAAAACTACAGCCACAATCACTTTCAGTTTTGATAACTAGCTTTGTCTGTGAAAAGTATTTTTTGACATTTCTTACACTCATAACTGTGTGCAATTTCTTAATTAGAAAATGATCCTTATTCCACAAGTAAAAAATTGTGTATACCTTGACTGCTAATTTTGTATATGCAAATCACTTAACAACTTGTTTGTAGATTTACTTTTTGTCAAATATGTTTGCACATGTTCATGTTTCCTCTGTCCATAGCTTTCCTTGACAGTGTTGTTGCTAAGTGCTGCTTGGTTCCAATATAATTTCCCATTGGCAACCTGCTAAAGTAGCACCAAGTTGCCAACTGGTAAGCAAGATGTTTTCGAGAAACCGGCTACAATCAAACTTGCTTGCGAACCTTCCGCCACAACAATCCCGCCCTCTTGATATTTAACCAATCATGTTAAATTTATTCACTCGTGTAAAGTTGGGC